TGTTTAAAATAATTTGTGATATAATGTACATAAAGTTAAAACTTTGATATTCACTAAAATTCTGTTTATGTTTTTCTTAATTTTTATAGTAACTATTTTATTTTCTTAAATTTATGTTCAGTTAATTATATCTTTATTTAACTTACACTATTTAAAAGCATTTTCACACAAAATTGTTTTCAATATTTTAATTAACATTTAATTTATTGTAAATTTTCTAATCTTTCTAAATTATCCTTCATGCGCTTAAGTTTTGATGCAAGAGGATGTTTAACAATCCCCTTATTAAAATATTGGAATATTCTGATTCTATACGCATAATGCATCAACAATTGATAATTGACGGCTGACTGAGACACCATTCTACCAAGAGGTTTGGTGGTATTTCTCATCCCCGCATATCTAGCATTAGACACGTCTAATAATATTGTAAGATATTGTTGTGGCCGGGACATAATTACATAATTTACATTAATCATCGCATGATTTCAAATACTCAGACTACTTTACAGCAGAACATATACTTACAATAGTACACTTTACTAAGACAAAACGTTGCAAACTTTACAAAAATTTACAAACGTATATTGTGGAACATAAAAATACAGCAATAGCACAGAAAGTTAAACTTCGAGAAGCAAACTGAGTAAATATTATATTATTAGTCAAGGCACTGTTCCTATTCACATCATTCAACAACAGCCCAAACCAGACATTTAACGGCAAACTATGTACATTCTACGGATCGATATTACAAACAGTCAATACAGAATGGCAGTAGTATTGTTACTGAAAATCTAACAAATAATCGTTAGTAAAACTTCTAAATTAAAGAAGCAAACGTTTTGCCTTATGTTAAAATATATCGCAGGAATATCAGAAAATTTTGAAAATGCATATTAAAAATCTATAAATACAGACTCTAGCTTTTATGAAATCATAGTAGAGATGTTTAGATTTATATTGTTATATGAGATTTATTTTCCTGAGTCATGATACAGGTGCATTTGTCTTACACAATATGTTTTATAAATATTGCAGGGCTAAGTATGCTTTGAGTGTTTGGCCACAGACCAATGGTTTCAGTTTAAGCAATCAATTATATAAGGTAAACCGTCAGACTACAAAAGCGTTTTGTTTTTTTTAGCAAAATATTTAATTTTTACATGGGCATTATTAAAAAAAACCTTAAAAATATCTAAAATATACCTTTAATTTTTATACAAAGCTATAGTGATTTTGAGTATAATGAACATAAAATCTACAATTGTATTCATGTATAATGAGGAGAACTGCAAATTACGTTGACTTTACTCAATAGTCAAACTGCAACTATTAACCATTATTTTAAATGCTATGTTTGACACGGTACGCACAGAGAAGTTTTAATACGAAATCATTTTAAAAAATTCTGCTGGATTAAAACAAGTTAAAATTTTTTTTAAAAAAATCTAGGATTGGAATTACGAGTACCTAACCCAAATTACCCAAATAAATTCAAAACTGAAAAATTAAGTTGGTAAAACCTATTAAAAGAAGCAAAGAGTTTTGTAAATTTACGAAATTAGTCCATCAGGTGGAAATAAGATTTTCCCACAAATTAAATTGAATAATATGTTATTCATATTACTGGATTGGGTAAAATGTCATGGCTCATTTTTTCTATGTACTTCGAAAGTCCTTTATTTATATAAAAAACGATGCTCAGTCAATAGTATACGCCGTTTTATTCGATAACGTTTTTTCTTTCTTTTAATGAAGCTGAAATTTCTCATTCACAAAACCTAACTTTATCAGCGAAAAGCTAAACAAGGTTTTTGTTTACTGCCTCATGTGAATTGAATGTTACACTACGGAAGAAATGTTGGAAAGAGCAAAACAACTGAAAGTCTGAAGGCACAGTATCAGGTTATGGTGTTGCGTGGCCCAAACTTGCCCGCAACAGTCGTAGTGACTGCTATGAACTGGAAATTACACAAACCCTTAAGAAGGTTTAACTCCCTTTTTATTCCATTTTAGAAGTTACACATGCGTTCACTTGACGCTCACAAACTACGCCGACCCGGCGGTTAAAAATAGAAAAGTAAAACTAAAAATAAATAACAGGATGAATAATAACGAAGTCACTACCTACGAGTCTCTATAAACGTGACTAACTTAACCGCGTTCTAAGATACAGCTGAGATTTCAGCAAACTTTCTGAACAAGAAGTTGAAAGATTCAACTAACTGCCGAAGTAGGCACACAAGCCGAAACGCGCGGTTCTTAAATTTCTACCTAGCAACCTTCACGCTCGTGAATCAAGAAAACACACCTTTTAATCTCGTTTCCCTTCTATTTAACTCAAATTACTTCTGCTAGAAATTTGAATACTCCGCGCGTTCTACTAAAATTTACATACTCTGGCATTGGCAATTCCAGGGGAAAGTAAAGGCTTGACAGGAAAGATAGCTTAAAATAAATGTTAGTTAAAATAAATATAAACCCTACAAGGTAAATATGATTCGTGTGGTAACAATTTTCGTTTAAACCAACGGTCACCAACCGGTGGTCCGCGAAAACCTTTTGATGGTTCGCAGAAAAATTGGGACATTATTTATATTTATGAAGATTCAGACTTTTTTAAATTTTAGCTACTATTTTTAGCGAAATTCCTTCTGAATTTAGCGACATTTTAGCTACTTTTGCAGATGTATCTAGGGACATGTGAAAGTGAGAGTTGGCATCTATGGACGTACTGCTGTTATCAATAAGAGCGCGAACTGGAATTCTCTTCCCTTTTGATTTACCAACATATGCTATTGTAGTCGTTAATAACACAGTTTTCTCCGTGTTAATAGGCAATTTGATGGATTTTTATGGCAACCATCTGCATTCTTATTTTTAATTGCATCACTGCAAGTTTCCATTTTTGTTTTGTCTTTTTACGAGACCGTAAACCGTTTTGATCGATGGCACCACTTCTGAGTAAGTGATGATTGCTTTTCTTGAAGTTCCTTTTCAATTATATGGAAATGTGAAGCTTTCTTTCTGTACAAGAAAGGTAAGATTTTTGTATGAACGAAATATGTGTATCAGTGAGACGTTAATAGTGTTTTAATTGCTACACATAATCAGGAGCGCAGCCTGAGTTTCCATAAAGGCATGCTGCTGAACAGCAAATGTTTAGAAAATTATATTAACTAATAAAAATTTAAATTACATGTATTGGAAAGTTGAATATTGTTTTTGCGTATTAATATGCTGTTTTTAAGGTTTTTTAAAATCATATTAGTCATCCGCCAAATATAAAATTATATATGTAGTGGTCCGTGAAGTTCTAAGGGTTGACGACCGCTGGTCTAAACTCCAATAATTTTTGCCAGTGACCAAACTTGTGTGTGGTCCTATTTCCAAACTCCTAGCAACGAGCCAACAAATTAATTCGAAAGTATTCTGCCGCTAAATGGACGGTTTTAGCGAATCCATTTTCCAGAAACTTCCAGAGCTTATTAGTCGTAAAGAAACTGAATTCGAACCCGATAACGCTAGACCACACACTAGTTTGATCACCTGAAAAAACGTATCGGAAGTTTGTATGAAAAATATTGCCACTCGTATCATACTCACCTGATCTTGCGCCATCCGATTTTCACTTGTTTAGTCTTCGAAATTTCTTTTCTGGTATAACAGTCAGTTTAGACGAGACCTTAAATTAGCAACATGCTCAGCGAAAGAGGAATTATGAAGCTCATTAAAAGAAAGCAAAAGATTATCGAACAAAACGGGCAATATACTATTGACTTGATCTTTGTATAAATAAAAGGCATTTGAAGAATATAGAAAAAAATGTGTCATAACTTTTTAGGCAACCTATCAATATATGCCGTATTTATTATTATGTGTTGATGTTGCAGCAAATGAATCAAATAAACTTGGAAACTTTCTAAAATCTGGTAAATCTAGGAATGTGAATCTGTAACTGATTTCATATAAAATGAATGTAAAATGAAAATCTATAAAATGAGAACAAAATCAACTCTTTGTTCCTTTTCAAGATAACACATACTTATAAATTCAGAAAAGATAAATTATTTACTAGAACTTAAGGCAGGCTTAATTGCTTAGTTATTAATCATAATCTTTATTATGTTACAAATAAACAACTATCTTATCTAGTTCTCATTTTCTCTTTCATTTTTTTTTCTCACAGATCTGAAATCATATCTTTTAGGTAACTCCGATTATATTTCGCAATTTCTCGAAAATTATTTTCCCTCAGAACGTAAAGAAAATAGAATTGCATTCCTTGTCAGAATTCACGAATTTAAAAGACCCAAATTTCAGCACTGGTAACTGTTCCCGCCGAAATCTTTACTACACTTTTCATTTAAAGCGTTTTATTTGCGCAGCTATGCCATGATTTTTTTTCAAACTAGTTAGATCATTTGTTTATATTCTAAAGAATTTATTATAAAAAGAGAAAAAGGAAGATTTTTTACGAGAGAAAACACGTACTTTTTTTTATACTAAGAAGGTTTTGTCTACGAAGGCTAAGGTTTGAATTTCTGGAGATTATTTCTTAAATTAGCGGTCCTGTTTTAATTTGGTTGTACAAAATGAGGTTCAACTATTGACAATAAAATTCAATCTTTCTTTCAAACTTTTATGGTTCTTGTATTTATTTATTTATTTTATTTTATTTTTTTTTACATTTTACAAATTTGTTCTGAATTCATTTTTAGTTATTAGACTGCAAACGATTGCAGTAAAGATACGCTCTTGGTTAAATTGTGTTTTCTCTAGTTTTTATTTAAGTCTTCAAAAGCACCTTGAAAGTTTTTCTCATATCTAATATTAAAAATATTTTTCTCAATAAAGTAACATTTTAGTAACAAAAACAGTAAAGTTTTTCATAGTAATGTATCCACATATTTTAAAGTATTTTTTTTTCTTCTGTTAAACTAAAGTGGAAGAAAAAGGTATCTACTGACAAGAGTGTTTTTTGCTATTTTACTTAGGATCCGGATGTGAAGACTTTTGCATGCTACGCTGAAAACCCACCAGTGCGAAAAAAGACCTTTCGGACGCATAAGCTTTCTGTAACTTGTGAGTATTAAGAGTATTAAAGCCTTTATTTTTCTCCTAATTTTATATTAGTTCCAGAGTACGGTTGGTTATATTTTGTCGTAATTAGATTTATAACACTGATGTTATCAAAATGAACCTGGGTCCAATTCCAATAAAACTAGATCTGTGAGTTTCAATATGCACTGCTCGATACTGAATTTGCCAATCCATAAATTTTATAACATTGAAATGAATTAGAATTTCTAAATATTAATATAGTACACTTAAATATTAATTTACTTTAAGCTATGTTATGACCCCTTTTAAGATATGAAGTAATGAAATACAATGTTTTTACCTCAACAAGTAGTTGTACTTCTGTGATCGGTAGTACTGGTAGCAGTATGACACAGAAATCAGTCGCACAGCTAATGGAAAACATTGAACCTGAACACTAAGCGTCGTTGATTTGTTTCCGTTGTTCATCCAGATCTTGTACTGACTGATGCAATCAAAAATGACGTCCAGTATATTCTTAAAGCTTTGTCATTGGGAATAAAACTGAAAATCTTGTTAATCGTGGCAATATTTGAACACGTTACGATGATTACGGTCTTTATCTTGCACGGAAATATGGTACAGAAGGCCATTCAGGGCCACTACGAAAATGGGCCGGAAAACCTTGCTAATATACAGCTGTCAGAGTATTTGCAATGCGAATAAGCTGTATTTGTCATAAAATATGGCATCCCGTACTACGTGTCTACGTGACGGGATGCATGGAGATTTCCAGTGCAAGTGAGGCCCACCAGTGGCCGAGTGACATAAATGTCTCTGAAACCTGGTAATTCAGTCTGGGTATAGAATTTTTGCGAACAGGATGATTACATGGGCGTTTTTGTTGTATTTTCATGTGTAATGTTTTTACCAACAACTTTCCCTTAGAAAGTCTTCCACGAGGGCATCCCTTCCTATAGATTGATAGCCCTTGAATACTTTGCCATAATCAAATAAACCAAACCCAAGCATGCAAGTGAAATCATTTCTTTCCTTAGATTGTTGAATTCTCATTATTTTATTTCTCTTTCACTTGATTTTTTAATAATTTTTAACTTGTTTTTTAATAATATTTTTCCCATTTACAGCGCTATTATACATTTGTTTATTTTGTTAGTGCAATACTTGTATATGCCTTGAGGTATACTTTGTGGAACACGAGGAGTTAAAATTAGAGTTAACAAAAAAAAAAAAAAAAAAAAAAAAAAAAAAAAAATCGCCAAAACCAGGTTCTTTTCCGGTTCACATCGCAGTTTCAAAGAAGAGTTTGCGAAGACTTGCAGTCAAAGAGAGCTGACGTATCGGTTGCTTAACTTCGAATTACAGTGATAACCGCGGTTAATGACGCTGCACATCATGTATCATTTTCCGGCCATTGACGCTATATCTACCAGACCGATGTTGTGTCGATGAAATGCATCAGAGAAATCTAATGCCAGAGTGAGGTAAGGTTGTACAGACTACAATAAGGCCACCGCAGGGCAGATAAGATTATTTCTGTTGTCACTGATTTAATTACCATTTAACAGTTCATGCACGAATTGCGCACACGTCCAGTATGATAAGCAGACAGTTCCGTTTCCCAGATGTCTGAAATTCTGTATTTTCAAAGATTCACGTACATCCAAGTTGTATTTTCAACAGGCTTGTTGTTATTTGACAGCAAGCCTGTTGATGGTGTATAACCAAGTCATTGACTACAGTCTTTTTTCAAGCGCCCAGAACAAAATTTGAAATGGCCGGAAAATTTCTTACTTCTCAAGCACTTAATAATCTTCTATGCTCTTTGCACCAATACCTCGCGGACCTGTGACTTCAAAGGATCATTCACAGAACATTATTTGCATATTTCATTTGAATACTTTTGCTCTGCTATTTGAATGTTTGCCGATCTCCACCTTTTAAATAGGGAATTGCCAATATCGAGCAATGTTATATTAATTTTAAAAAAGCAAGCGAAAGCATTTTTGCTATTTGCAAGTAATTAATTACATAAGTTTGTGAATACATTCCTCTTTTTACCCTTCCTTATTTTGTATATCTTGTTTTAAAGAAGGTAATAGGATTTCAAAATTAAATTATTATTTTTTATATTGGGTTATATTATTTTACTTTTATTTTTTATGATATGCTTTTTTATTTAATAAATAAAACAATATTTAAACTAATATTAATGAAACCAACATTCTCAATTCATCAATATGAATGGCGTACATTTCTTGAAAATTTTCTCAATAGAAATTATTTATCACTTGTAAATAATAATACATCTGTTTTATACCTGATATATGTCACACAATATTTTTGCGGTTAACCAGATAATCTGACATTTTGTTAGTAGTTATAGAAATTAAAATTTGTTCCTAAATCATAAATTTCATAAATGCCCATCTTGTTTTACGAAGATAAGAATATTTAAATTTGGGGCATAAATTTAGTAAAGGTGAATTTCGATTTCAGAAAAAATTATAAATTTATACAAGATGTTAAAAAAGAGTGGCTGCAGTCTTTAATGCTTTAAATTTCGATCCAGCTTAGCTCCTTTTATTTACACCATTCCTGAAAATAAAGTTGAGGATAATTTGGAGGTCTATATGAACATATAATCTATGATATAAAATCTAACGCAAAACATAAATTTCCTTTATTAAAATGTTCATTATACTTAAAAAGATTTACACAAACGTTCGTAATTTACGTACTAAACATTTTGAGGCTCTTTACGAATTGAGTATTGTTTGTTTACAAAATACAGAAGCATTAATGGGTAAAATAAGCAATTTGTTTTTCGAATTTCTTTGCAAAATTCGAAAGAAGAATATTCAGTTTTGCTGTAACACGCCTAAAATGACGTAATTAGATTGCGGAGCTCTACGACACACATTCTGATGTAGTTTCCAAGAAGTTTCTATATCTTACTTTTAGATATTTTATAAATGGACGCACATACCTAGCATATATAAATATCTAAGTCAAAAAATGCCACAACAGCATTTGAAGCAATATGTTTACAATCACTCTCTAAATGATTCACAATAAGACGAATAAAATACTTTATGGGTTTATTGGAAAATGGACAAACGGATGACAAATGTTGCCGGTATCGATAAATTAAGCTAACATTAAATTATTTATAAGAATAAATGACAATAAATGTTTGTTACAAACAGTGATGTTTAATCTTATAACATAACATAAAAAATCTTATAATCATAAAATGTGCAATTTTTATCTGCAAGCAGACTTGTGTCGCGTTGAGAAACAACTGCTTGGAATGAAATACCATTAATACCTTTTGTAATGGTTGTTCCTTTTCCCTGTGTTAAAACTTCTATGAACTTATAGGGATTTTCAACAAAATTCATCGTTTGGCCAATGAATATTTAAAACATTTGCTTCACAGTGGAGATAGCATTTTCAAAGCAGAAGTGTTCAGTGTTTTGTCTTTACTTTCTAATATTCTCCTTAAATGTAGAATACGTGCAGCAACATTGTGGTAAAAAAAAAATATCGGATGTTTTTCTTATGCTATGTGAAATTTACATATTTCGCTGACTTTCAGAAAGAGGCTTCGACTCCAAATAAATGTGAAGCAAATTGCACAACAACTTGAACACAATGCAAGTTTTTCTTATACAACCATTACGTCTGCAAGTGGCTGTAACATTTCTGAGTCCATTACCCGATATCCTGTACTCCAGAATTTCCAAGAACATTCAAATATATCTAGTTCTAATACCGCAATGAAACTGGTAATGGAACGGAAACTATTAATGTTCTTATACATACTTCAGAAACACTAGGCTCCTTCATATGAGTGGTATGTATGAACTAGAAACAAAAAAATTATCTTTTCGAAGTTAGAAATGACTTGATTGAAATGAATAAATTTCTGTCTCTTGTAAATGAAATTGGTGTAGAATAACGCTTTGTTCCAGATCACCTTTTCATAAATAACTATCCAAAAATCAATATTTACTGTTGGTTAAAAAGTTTAAGTCAGATGTTGGTTTCGACAAGATTCTTATTTAAATATGGATATAAAGCTTAACATTTACTTTTTAAAAAGCTTAACTACAACTTATAGATGAAGGAATTGCTAATACGTGAAGCCAAAATTGCTGGTACTATTGTTATTTATCGCCTAATGTCCATATTGGCTTTAAAACTTTACATTATTTTAGACAATTTTATACAAACGTATCAAAACCTGAACGATGAAGTATAAATACATTTTAGCGTTATTTATTTAGCAAAACAGAATAAGTAATATACTTTCAGAAATCATCGATTTCTACAATCTTGTCTGAAATTATAGATACAATAATAATTTTTTTTCCAATGACAGATTGTAAACAATTGCAAATGAAACTCAGTCCATTAATCTATACAAAGCCGGATGTGGTGGTCTCTTTATTATGGAGGCACCTAATAGGTGGTCCACCATCGCCTTTCCTTTGAAGGGACGGACAGTTACAACCCTGCCTTCTCCGGGAATCAAACCCAGGCTCTTCGCATCGCAGTCAGCTTCCTTGATCACTGTACCGACTGGGTGGCGATACAATAATACTTCATTTATCATTTCTAAGCAAATTTAGTTAAATAGTCATTTAATCATAGATGATACTTATTAAAGGTGATCAGAGTAAATAATTAAAAATGACATATTCTCAAGCATCTGAGTAATTTCCATTTGACAGTCTGTCCTACTATAGTATGTCTGTAAGTTTCATTTGGTATTCTGTCTTATTATAGTGTGTCTATCTAAGGTACAGTAAAATGTTTGATTTTTAACACAAATATTCAGATTACATTATCACAAGTTACCTGATGAAGAAAAGGATTACAAATGCAGCAAAAGCAAAATATATTTAATCTGGACCTAATAAATTGGTCGGTTGAAAAAAGAAACACGCCAGGAATTTACATAGATTCCTAAATTTTTCTTCAATAAATTTAGATTGTACTAACATATTTGAAGAAAGTATTGCTGAGCTTTATTGAAAAGGATTTGCTTAACAAATGTATTACTCTTACTAGTTATAATGATTCGCAGTGCAAATAGGACATAATAAGTTTTAGTATGTTTCAGATGATGATAATATGACAGTAATTTTTTTTTTTTTTTTTTTTTTTTTTTTTTAATAATTACTTGTTTCACCATTCGAGAAGTTTTGAGATATATTTTTCAAACAAATCAGAATTTACTTGTAATTGATATCCTATAGATACAAGCTGTTCTTCTCCATGTGCTCGCTTAACCGGTTCCATGTGCTTAAGCTATCTTAAGAAAGGAATTTTAAAGATAAGATATTATCCACGTTCAGGTTTTATTACGTTCAGTGTATAAAATTATGTAAATGAAGAGTACTTTTATGTGAATGAATGCCTTTCTTAATTTCCATAAAGCAAGGAATGTATCTCTAGCAGATCCCCCTCAGCCGCCGACCATCCTGGGCTATGAAGAAGGTTCGCCTCTGCGGGTGGGCGAGCTGAAAACCTTCAACTGCGTTGCCCTGGGCGGCAATCCACCCGCAACGCTCAAGTGGTACAGAGGCGACAGGGAGGTACGCTATCATCCGTGGCGGCATGTAATTATTATTGTAACACTATTCACATACAGTCATCTAGACAGACAATGAGGCTCGAGAGTTCGCACTGCCGCTGGAATTAAGTGGCAAAATTTTATTTATTGTCTCTTAAGTTGAGAGTCGCATATAAGATGAACTGCTTTGAAGTACTATGCCGTGGTTTACTTTGTGGTTACTTAACAGTAGCAGATGCAGATATAATTTTGTGATTGCTTACATTTTATTTTTATTGCAACATCTACACTATACGCACTGCATTTCATGGTTTACAGTGTGCCATTGTATACAGAATATTATCACAAAATGGTATGCATAATGAGGAAAGAGATAAGAAACATATACTGACGCTGGCAGTTTAAAGAAATGCTATATACTCAAACAACTGATATCCCTAGAGCTGTTTCCATTGCTTCATTCATTAAATTCTAATACAATCACCTCTAAATAATAAGTAGACTGATGGAGAAATGCAGTAAGTGCTTTCAAGTCTCATAGTCTAACAGGATGGCTGTATTTATTCAGAATGCAAATAATGTAGTTAGAAAAAGATTTTGTTTGTTTATTGTGCTATTGCTTTGTTTTTATTGTTAGTATTGATAGTATATGTAGTCTTCCGCAAATGTTCTGCAGTGATTTTACTACATAGAGGAGTATATTACATAAAAGTAGAGAAAACCAGTTATTACGAAATTAATTAAACTTTTTCCTCAAAGATGAACACAGCTCGAATGCAAACAATTAAATTGTACACACTTCGAATTCAAACAGGAATATCATTCCGAAACTACTTAAAGAAGAAAGGAAATTCTCTTACGTATTAATATATGTTTAATATTAATAATTAGTTAAAATTTGCTCAGGATATCTGAAGACTATTGCTCATTTGATTTAATTAAGTTTTGTTTAGTCTAAAAACTAGTCTAATGTTCTTAGACTGCCGAACGTTCTAAAATACATTTATCCCTTCAAATCTAGAATGCTAAAGAAAGAATAATAGAATAAAAAATCAAAGTTTAAACATTTGTTTTCTCTTTGCAAAATTAACTTACGCTATTGGGGGGTTGGAGAGCCAACAATGGTTTAAATTATTTACAAGTTTAAAGCCTAAAACTTTTCTTTAATCCCCTTGATTTCCAAAATTATTTCAGTTTAAGACAATTTCATCATGCAAAACAATGTTAAAGATGAGCAGCAACAGATAAGATTCAAACTGGGTACGATTGCCAGTTCTCTCTCCTAAATTTTGATTTTGTCTTCTTTTTAAAACTTTTTCCACTCAATATTATTTTGGTGTAGACCTATAATTATACTGCATTGGTAGAATTATATGAAGGATTCAATATAAAAAATTTAACTGCAACAAACTTTATATGTTTCACCTTTAGCTAGAAAAGGATTAAAAGAATATGTAAAAACATGTATGAATAGTTTTATTCACAGCAGGTATGAACAATAATTTAAATGAGAAGGGCAAAGTTGAATTCTCGAAACACCCTTCAACGTTTCATTGCAGTACTTAGGCATCTATTTGTCCGTTTTTCATGTCTCTTGCTTCAAAAGAACGTAATAATTCTATAACTGGCACCCAAACTAAAATATGGTTTACGATAATTGGTCACCATCGCCAATTTTGAGTTCGTTTATCCCTGGTGGCCCTTTAAAAGGGGAGATATGTAAGGTATTTTCTCCCTCCTTGTCGCGTGTATTCGTGATGTAACTTAATAGTTTGCCCGTATAGGAAGCAGTAAATTCGGTGGTCGAATCCGGGCTGGGGCATTTCACATTCTTAATGTCTCCTGCTTCAATATATAACCAAAGTTCTCTAAAGAGCGTAAAAAGTAACCTACGAATTTTTCAATTCTCGTTTCACTAATTTACATCTTTTCAATAGCAGTGGCTATCCATGATCATATGACATTGCTGAAGTTTTAGAATGATCGTAGATTCACAAAACACATGCAATAGCAATATGCCTTGCGTCGACGAGACATTAAGTCATTTTTAGTTGTACGATTACCGTAGGGAATTTACAATGTAGGAGCTAAGGAAATGGAAACCTATTAAAATATTTTCCCAGTAGTCGCGCATGTAATTCAAAACGACAATCTAGAGGGGGTAATAAGAAACATAAAGGTATGAAGATGTCAATAACGCTGTACGTATAAATGAATACTTTTAATTGAGACTTCCATTTCAGTTATCATCCATCCGAATATATCATATACCATGACTGACCGTCACCCATATTTTCCTCATGGCATTGTTTCATGACTTCGATATATATTTTGCAAATATGGAAAGAACTACCAATTTTATATAATACCAGTTATAAAACAACTATTACAGAAACTCACCAAAGAATATTTATGACGACAACCGTATGTAGCTCATGATCGAAATTCAATGTTCCAGGATAAATGGGTTAAGCAATGCGCATAAGTTCAATGACTATAGAAGTAGGAATTGGACAGATTATGATCTCGCAGTGTTGCCATTTGTTATATGTTAGCAAAAACTCAATCTGCAAGAAGGTCAGATAAGAATGCTAGATGCTCATACTTGTAACTATCTAGTTGTCAGGTTGATGGTGATGCTAAGTGGTTGATTGCAGTTTAACAGCCCTTATTAGACTGATTTTTAAATTTACTGATTTTAAGTGGCATTAATTTTAAAGTTTTTAAATCATATACTATTGCTCTAATGAAGTTTATCAATGAAAATAGGGAGCTTGTAGGAATCTTCTGTTAAAATTGAATTTTGTGTTTATATGGGTTTTAGATATCTGTGGTGTTCTATGTTGTGAATTTGTGTTTATGATTTTTTTTGTTTTGTTTTGTTGTTGTTTGTGTGTTGGTTTGTAATTTTATTACTTATTTTTAATTTAGTGTTTTTGTTTGTTGTTTGGGAGTGGCTGGGTTACTGGCTGCCCTCCTTTGTGGAGATACGAGGTCCCTTCTTTTGAGATGTGGGCACACTCGTGTCCAGTTGGGCTGAAGGGAGCCTCCAATTTTTACAATTTTTACCTGTAACTACCTAAAATCGATAATCCCCTCCGAAATGGAGTTTCACATCTTTCTGGCATTTAAAATCCACCATCTGTGGAATGTTAGTAGATTTCACTGTGCAGGTTTCCACATCTAATGCTGCAATATAAGTGGTAAGCGTAAGGTCTCTGTTTAAGAAATATGAAAATGGTGTTTATATAATAATCTGTGATCTTCTTTTTTTGTCTCTTTATTTTATTCAGATATACTACGCTTGTCAGTTGACAATTCCGTGAAACGTTCTTATTTTAATTTTTTTTATTTATGACAATCAGTTTTAGCCCAGTGAAGCGATTAGTCAAAAAGCTTGCATAAATCCTAAACGAATGCCCATTAATGTTGCAAGTTTAAGGTTAAACCGAATTAGCTTATCTAGCTACACCGCTGCTTTGACTAATCTTGGTATTCGTACTTCATAGAGAGCTTAACTTCAATAACACAGAAAAGATGCAAACTTGACTAAAAAATTTATTAAAAGCTTCGTCTTTTAGTTTAATGAAAACGAATGTCGACAATTATACAAAGTAATGAATTTGTTTTCATATTGCGTTTTGGCAGATTAATAAAATTAAGAGAACCAAAATTTGTCTTCGGAAAAAATTGCATTTAACTGAGGTAAGCCGATAAAAGTAAAACGAATATCAAGAATAGAAGGTAAGCATTCTTCTCTTCTTGTAAGAAAAGAAAGTATTCAATGGTGCAAAAAATCGTATTATTGCTTCTCATAATAATAAGATTTTAATCAGCTAGAAATAGCCCTAATTGCACGTATATATAACTTCAGTTATTTATTTATGTGGAAAACAAAAATAAATACGCTTTGGGGAAACTAAGTTTAGCATAAAGCATTTGTTTAATATTGGCGACGTATGGAATATTATCCGCCAAATGGAGGGATATCCTTACTTTTCATAACAAATTGTTTTAAGGTTAACATCTTTCCTGAACCTCTCATTTTCCCCTGGCATTTCCTCGCCAGGATGCGAATTTAAAATTAAGTGAAGTGAGTATTTAAACAGGTGAATTTTGTAGTTTATTCAGAGCGTGTTTTCGCTAGCCAGCGCACGTTATGAGTCTGCCCTTGCCATTACACGAAGTTGCTGATACGCCGTTTTGGCGATTTAATAAGTATAGCGTCTGTAGGTTGTTGAAAAACCTAATTAGCCTTAACTTAAATATAAGCCCAATACTACTCTTTATCTTCGAAATTTTTTGTATAACTATTCTTAAGTTCCACCGCAAGTTGTCCGTGTTATTGTAAGCACGAAGTACATGCTTTTTCTGTTCAATAACTCTTAATAAAGAGTTATTTTTACCCTTCTTCTCGGCTGGTATTCTTTACGCTAGTTTCCTTAGTAGGATCCAGTAGACTTTATGTTACCAAAGAGAGTATGATCCTACAACCCCGTGGAAGGATTAAAAAAAAACTGGCTTGTACAAGTTACTTGGTTACACAAGGGGAAAACCACGAAAGTGCTCATGCAGGCAACACGTTCCTCGGGATATGAACCCTGGACTTAACTATCGGTGATCAATTACATCACAGGTCGGTCATTGACGAGCCTATCACTAAGATTTAAATATATTTTATTAAATACCTATCTAATACTCTCTATGTTGTGACCGTTATGATTTCTATGTTATTTTGACTTGATTTTCTTTAAAGTGTTTTTTTTTAATTTATTAATAGGCGGATTTAAATTCTTTTCTGCACTTAAAATGTATTAAATTTTCTTCTGAGGAGTATTTTACTAATTCTGCAGTTATAGCAATTGTAGAGAGTGTTAAATATAAAATTAAAATGTTTCTGAAACTTAAATATAAACTGTTATTAAAATAAATAAGAAATGCAATTTACAGATTCTTTTATGCGATGAACAATGTTACCAGACGTAATAAAAATAAAACAGTTCTTTTAAAAATTAATTAAATTAAATGAAAGAAGAGGCATGTATT